TTTTTGCTGAGGAAGACTGGCCCTGGGCTAACATCTGTGCCCATCTTCCTCCGCTTTATATGGGACGCCGCCACAGCATGGCCTGATGAGCGGTGCGTCGGTGCGCGCCCGGGATCCGAACCCAGGCTGCCAGCAGCAGAGCACGCGCACTTAACTGCTATGCCACGGGGCCGGCCCCCAAATGACTCTTTTTTGCTGATGGTTTTGACCATTTTGATTGCTCTTTTAATGGGTAAATACATGAGCTAAATTTGTTGGATCTCCTATGAGAAAAAAATTAAATATGAGAATCCAAGATGATATGTTGAATACCTCAAGAAACTCACATGTGGGCCCTAGCCCTAATACAGTGCGTTAAATAGGAAACTGGAAAAACAGCATGGATACCACTGCATCTTTGCTGTTGCAAACACATTTGTGTAGCGTCTGTATTTCTTGAGTATTTTTATGGCCCATTTCAAAACCTTGGACCAAGTGGGAGCTCTGACCATGAGATAAGTCATGAGTGAAGTTCATGTAGCCCGCTGGAATTTGGCCACACGCTTCTCCTGGGGAAAGGAGCATTGGGAAGACAGAGAACAAAGTCTTGCTTTGCCAGTTCATTTGGATAAATTCCACAATGTGCAAAGCAGTATAGTTCAGGCTAATTTGTATCCTCAGGAAAAGATACAATGAAATCTCACAAGGAAAACAGATTGACCGGGTTAGAGTGTAGGAGTCATTTTTCTGAGGGAGTGGGTACAGTGTGGTAACTTACATATTAAAAGGATACTTGATTTTGTTTTAAGGACTTTATTAGTATTGTTACATCACCGTTGACTCTTGGAAGGGTTTAAGAACCGTTGGAGCTCTTTTTGCTGCGTGTTTTAGGGTCAATCTTTGTACTTCCCAGGTCGGGGGAGTGGATTTTCTCTAACAGGAATTTGCTCGGGCAAGAGCACTTTCTCAAGAGCTCAAATGCATACTTACTGTCTTTTTTTGAGAGAGAGAATACATTTTCTGAGACCATTGTTCAAAAAGATAAGTACAGCTTCCGTTGCCAAGGGTTTGGTGGAACAGCCAGTTTCTCTAAGTAATGGAATTTCATTGCTCTTCTTTTTGCAAATGAGAAATCTACAGCTGGGCAGGATTTTCTTTTGGCAAAGAATGATCTGTATTTGAAATGTTCAGTACAGTTTCTGGTAAGTCACATTCTCCCTTTGGACAGTATGTAAAATATTAATCACGTCCCAGTGTTGAGATGGAAAGAAGGATGATCACAATAGAGAAATGATATATGTGTAATTGCAATTGACACACTGGGCCCTTCTCAGTCAAATTCTAATCTCTTTTGACGTGATACAGTGATTCCCATGACTGGAAAATATGTTCTCTGGTTCACCTCGCCTGTGTCTGAGTTTATTACCGGGCGTGAATTTGATTATTTTAAGTGTGCGTGTGTGTTTCATCAGTAAGAAGAGTTGGGCTTTCTAGTTTTCCACCAGATTTCTTCCTTTTCAGGGGAGTGGGCAGACTACCACCAGACCTTCACCATAAGGACTTGAATTCTTGCAAAAGGGTGCTTATGTGAAATTCAGAGAGACTTAATGAGGTTTGTCCTTACTGCGACATCTTCAACAGTGACTCTGCTGCTCCTGCTATCTGTTCCTTGAGACCAGAGCAGTGGTTCCCCCACAGCAGAACCGGGCTCCCACCTTCTTTCTTTTTTTTTTAACAAATATTTTGAAGTGCCACCAATACTATTGTGAAATGAAATTCATAAATAATATTTATATACATATACACCTAATTGTAAAATACATATGCTGTAATGTAACAGAAAAATAAAAGGAAGATAATTTATAATAAAATGTATATATCAGTATGTAAATGCTCGGGCACAGTGACGTTAAAAGACACCATGATGTCACCCAAGGCTCACTCCTCCTTGTAGACTCAATGTGATGCACCAGCTACAAATGCTGCCGGGTACGGGAGGCTGGTGCCAGTCACTCAGGCACTGTGAGCAGCATCACCGTCCACGACTCGATTTTCCACAGTGGTGAACAGATTGTGGTTAAGTTCTGACACAACAAAGTACAGTCTTCCTTTGATTTACACACTTCTGTGTGTGTGTGTATATATATATTTTAAGTTATGGTAAAATATACATAACATAAAATTTACCACTTTAACCATTTTTAAGTGTACCTCTCTGGCATTAAGTGCCTTCACATTGTTGTGCAGGCATCACCACCATCCATCTCCAGAACTTTTTCGTCATCCCAGACTGAAACTGTACCCTTTAAACAACAACTTGCCACACCCCCCACCCCCACCTCCTGGCAGCCACCGTTCGACTTTCTGTTTCTGTGAATCTAACTACTCTAGGTTCCCCATATAAGTGGAATCATACAATATTTTCCTTTTTGGGTCTGGCTCATTTCATTTAGCATGATGTCCTCCAGGTTCATCCATGTTGTAGCATGTGTCAGAATTCCTTCCTTTTTAAAGCTCAATACTATTCCACTGTATGTATAGATGTACATACCACATTTTGTTTATCCATTCATCTATTGATGGATGTTTCGGTTGCTTCCACCTTTTGAGTATTGTGAATAATGCTCCTATGAACATGGGTGTGCAATCTGTATCTATTTAAACTGCAAAAAAACCCTTAGTGTTTATATGTAAAACAGTTAGGGTCTATACTCAGGTAATTATAACAAATTTGTTATTTTAACTTCATGAATATCTGGCAAGATACGTGAAAGTTATTGGAAGCAGAATCGTTCTTCATTGCATGGGACTCGGTGCAGTGTAGAACTTCTAGCACCTCTGGTCCCCACCCCAATCATTGTGACAGTAAAAAATGCCCCCACAGATTTCCAGCAGTACCTCGGAGAGTAATAGGGGCACTGGAGGAACTGGGGTAAAAGAGATTTGTCTTATTCCAGAACCTTTTATGCAAGGTGGGAGGCCTGATAAGAAAGCCTGAGCTGGCCCCTCCTGGAGCTCGCCTGGGAATCTTGGCCCCCTTAGATCAAGTGCCCTCCCAGCCCACGTGGCTGCAGCTTTGGAGCCTGGCTGATCCAGGAGCCCGTGTTCTCCACTGGCATCTTGTGCCCCCGTCTGTCCTGGGTTGGGACACACAGGCTCTTGTGCTCACCCTACCTCATACCTGGTACTGAGATACAGCAAGTTCTGACTTATTCGATGTTCGCTCCTGATTTTTCTTGTGTGTCTTTCCCTGCCCTTACTTAGGAGCTGCCCCAGGTCCTTTTCACAACTTCGATTCCACCCTTGATTGCATCTCCTCAGCTCCTATTTAGAAAACCAAATTTAATTTCTGCATAGTACCTTTTGTACTCATTCTAAACCATAAATACCACAGTGATTTTAGTTTTTCTGCTTCAGAGCCTGCTTTCTAAACTCCCTTCTGAAGACAATGTAATGCTCCTATACCTTAGTACCAACCAGATTGCTTAGAGGAACTGCGATTTTGTTCTTTCTGACGGTTTGAAGCCTTTGGAAAAATCTTCCCAGTGCCCCCAGAGTGTGGGTTAACCAACGTAAGCAGGATTTGTCACAAATATAACACCTTTCTCTGTGACCTCTAGAGTCTACTGTGGACCAGTCACATTCTACCCAATTCTACTGTAAGTTATTTAGGAGAGAGCAAAAGGTGAAAAGTCACATGTGGTCAATATATCCTCAAAAATCCCTCAGGGAGGTGCCATGTGGGGAACACACCGTCTCTCCGTTAGTCTAGCCAGCTGGTTTCCCCAGCGTTGGAGCATCTCCCTGTGTCTTCAGTTGACTACCGTATGAGGTATTTGACTTGTTGTGCAAATAGCTCATTTGGTGAAATGCTCTCCCTGAAAAAAGCACAGGGGAACCAAGACCTACTAAGAAATCTGCAAATTCACTCTGGAGGCATGTGCTATTGATACAGTAATTTCTCTCTCCATCCAGTTTTTTTATCCACATGGCTTGCGTATAAGTTAAACGACCATGTGATACAACTCCACTGAAATTCTTTCTCAAAGATTTGTAGCGGCCACCTACACTTATATCTTTGCTGGTCTTCCAGCGTCTTGGGTTGGAGAACTGGGCTCCTTCTCGCATTATACTAGTCTC